ACCGGTGCTTTCAAGCTAGCAATGTATCTGGCCCACCAAAGACTGCTGGATGAAAATGTGGATGTGATAGTACTGCTAATGCTGGAGCCTGTCCTGCAGCATTCTCACTTTCTGCGCTTGAGGAAGCGACTGTGCGAGAGCAGTGTTGTAGAGTGGCCGCGAACAGCAGCCGCAGAGCCCTGGTTTTGGCAAAACCTGCAAAGTGTCATAAGAGTAGATAATCAAGTGATGTACAACAAGACCTATTCAAAATACTTCACCACCAAGTGAAGAAAGTCTTGTTTTAAAACTATTGATTTATGCATCATTGCTTGCTTGGTTCTTTTAAACCTTCTCTCGTTTGCCTGAGACTTATAAACAAAGAAACTACAAAACTTATTTGCTAATAATTGCTGAGAGAGCACAGCCTACCGAATATTTGTAAATGTGAAACTGTTATGTGCTGTATATTATCAAATAAAGCCTTTTCAAAATGTGTTCCATTTTGTGGATGTAAATTTTGGCAGACTACCATCTGGTTTTTGTATAAGAAAAAAATATTTTATGGGTTACAAGTTGAACTTATGCACAGCCTACTCTTTCATTTGGGTTTTTACTGACATTTTAGGACTTAGTAATTACTGTTTAGGGGGGAAAAACAACAACAAAAATACAAATTCTTGAAGCCAGGGAATCTGCTACACCACGTTTGGTTAGTACCTACTTTGTCCATACGGTGTCACCACTGATTCAGTTTTAATGGGAGTGCCGTTTGCAAATAAACCCTCAAGTCATTGTTCCACTAACTGTCGGCTACATTTATTTTTCCTTACAAGAGCAAACAAGGCGCTGTAGTGATGCAGACACCTTTTGTAGAGTTCGGAGAAAATCAATAAACGACGTTAATTAAGCTAATGGCACACAGCTGTTGCTAATGGCCACTCGATTTGAATGAATGTTCTGAGGTGTTTGTTTGTATTTTGTTTGTTTTTTTTACTTGCGCTATGGTTTCGGGATATCAGCGTTTGTTTTCAAGTCTATATATAAGATTAAAAAATGTTCACTTTTTCTTTTTTTATCGTTTGTATCGAAGCAGCCTTGTCGTGACGTCAGAGGCTCATTTGCATACGGTATTGTATTTATTGTGTGATTGAGGCTGACGTTAGCACTCTGCTCCTGCAACAACCGGACGCGCATCCTGTGATTTCTGTGAGTCGTGCGCTTGTAAGTAAGTTCCCTTTTTTTTTTTTTCCTCTCCCCTGTTTCTTGTTAAAGTTGACCGGCGCTTAAATTTAGCTTGATGTGCCCTTATTTCCTCTGGTTTCAGTTTCTTGGCTCAATGTCTACATCATGACATTTAACAAAGTAAAAGTGTAAATGACCGAAGCTGCGGAATTTATGAGCCTAACTTTTCTGCTTTGTGGGGTGTGGGTTTTAGTTTTTTAATTTTAAACACTAATTTGTAGAACGCCTGTTAAAATTAAAGTTCACTGTGGAGTGCATTCGGCGTAGCAGCATCCGTACTTGAAAGTGTTGTGTGCATCGAGATCGCTTAATAGCGACTGTATGAGTCGGGGGGGGGGGGGCGGTATTCAAATTCTCAACGCCTTGAAATTTAACTGTCTGACTACACATGCTCGGGTGTGCTGATTAGCCTAATAAGAAGGGTGTCTTTGTTTTAGAACCTTCTGCAAACATGTCTGACAAGCCTGACGTCACTGAGGTTACAACCTTTGACAAGACTAAGCTGAAGAAGACCGAGACTCAAGAGAAAAACCCACTGCCAACCAAAGAAGGTAGGTACTACACCGTCTGACTTTAATCCAGAGCATGTCTGCTATGCTGGAACTCTGAGACCCTAACCTTCTACCTCCTGTTGCAGTCATCGAACAGGAGAAGGCAGAGTCATCATGAAGACCAGGCCTCCTACGTGCTGTACATTTGACAAGCTTTGTCTCTATCAAGATGCATTTCAAGTTTCATAACCTACTTGAGAAATGGCTGTACAACTCACACTATTCACTTGGCTTGATGACCCTCTGTACAGTATGGCAGTGTGGCTTTATGTCACCTTTAGGACCTGGTCATCTGTTTGCATCAATGAGCAGGGGGGAAACAACTGACAAATCTGCACTTGGCAATTTGTAGCCCTACTCCGGTCACCTGTAATGCTCACAAGCAAGCTGTTGTAAAACCTGAAATGCGCAAGATTTGTTTAATATGCACAATAAAAAAAAATGTAAATTTCACGTGAATGTGGTGTTTTGGTTTTTGGGGGGGCGGCGGTGTAACTTTTGCTCAGCCTTGGGAGCTAGCATTGAATGCCCTTTTATCCTGAGCAGGTTTGACTGGATGGAAGCTCTCTATAGGCGTTTCAGCTTGTCTGCTAGCTAAACTGAATCTGTACCAACAGTTGGAACTAAAGCTTGATCAGCCGGTTCCTTTTGAGCACTGGTCCAACAGAAGCTGGTAATATATTGGCTCTGTATTTTTATATATATATATTTTTTTAAATTGTGCATCTTAAGCACTGCAGAAATTGTATGTCATCCCAGTGGGCTTCAAAAACACAACTTGACAATGCAGAACTTTTCGGAAGCCTTCGTCAACATCCAAAAAAGCCAGTTATTCAACCTTGTGGTCTGTAAAGGTGTTGTGCAAAACATTGCTGCCCTATCTGCCACAATTGTACTCAAGACTAGTCCTATATAGTCCACTTTTTTTTGGGTTTTTCTACCTTGCAGCTGCACTAGGCCCCTGTGTTAAAGGATGCCAAAGCCACTAGCTGATGGACTAGTTCCTTTAAAATGCCAGTTTGGAATAAGAGCCATGGCTCTCTATTTTGTGAAATGCAATTGAAACTGTCCAGTTATTTACACCTGCAGATGCAAAACTCTAAACGTGTAGGTCCAGTTACTAATCTCTACCTTGCAAGAGAAGTTTAATACCGGTCTGCGAAATGGGTGTTTGAAATGAAGCTGCTGCGCCTTGAGGTGCACATGAAAAAGAAAGCTTTAGGATCTAACAAATTCTACATTTAGCTGGAAACCATATTCAAGAACCCTTAATCATGGTGACTGTTTAATGTGTTAAACCACAGTACTGGTGCGGCAGGTGTATTTGGAGATTGTCACCTCCAAAAAATGTAAAGGGGTTGTTTTTTTTTTTGTTTTTTTTTCTTTCTTTCTTTCAAATTAACTGAACTAAAACAAAAAGGAACTAATTATGCTGTTTACACACATCAGTTGTCTCTTATGTTTGGAAAGTGGTTACATAATGCAATGTGTCTACAGACCATAACAGCTGTGCTGAAACAATAGGCTTTGCTGGGGGATTGGCACAAGTTCATCCTCTTTCCCATAAGGCCATATTCAGGCTACATTTGTTTTTAATAAGGGAACAGGACATGTTAGTTTATTTTGTATTTGCTGTTTTTAAGGAGCTCATGTAGACATTTGTGATGCCAGGCCCTCCTCTTCACCATCTACCATCTGTATGTGCAGTCTGGTCTGACAAGAACTGTGTCCTATAATAGTGTGTACTGTTAGACAGACCATATAGAATTTATGGATTTCAAGACAATACTCTGTCACTGGACTGTTTCATGTTTTTCTTTTTTTAAACTTTCTTAGACAGACAAAAGTACTTTATAGCGATAAATTGTAAGGGTTTAGCACTAGATCGAATGTTGGAAAAATACAAAATGTGTCCCTTTAATAACGAAAGCACCATATTTATGCGATAAAAATCTAAGTCTTTCTATATTTTTACTAATTCTGCCTTTATGGTTCTGGTTTCCATGACGGTGTCTGACAAGTTGAGACCTGACGAAGTCTTTGAAAAGGAATGCAAGTGACATGAAATGGCTGATTGAGTTGAACTTGGCGTAAGAGACCAAACTGCCATCTGCCACTGTTGTGATGGGCACCCTCTGAAATGGCTGTGACTCAGGGGTAACTGACAAAGAACACAGATATCCCTGAGACTGCTTATAGCTGCATACTGTACATAATGTGCCAGGAGGATGAGACCACTCTGACAGTGTTCCTGCTCCAGTAGCTGTATTGTACAGTGCCAACGACTGTATTGTACTGTTGGGCTGAGTGGATATGAATAACTCGACAAAAGATATGCAGGATTGTATAGAATACACAACAAATAAGCACATCTTGCCCTTGTCTCATATAGCTGGAAAACATAGTATCATGAAAGTAAAAAAAAAAATCAGTTTTATAAAGATCACATTTTTTTTCCTATTTTATTATGAACTGTGAAGTCTACTTTCAGACAAATATGTTGTATTTATGCTTATTTTACAACTAAGCAGCCAATTCCATTATCAGTGCAGTCAGAGTTGAATGACTTTATTTTTGTGTGTAACTGATGCACACATTTGTCTCAAATGATTCCTTTGATACATTTTAAGAGACGCAGTGTATACTGCTGTCCTTTGTAAGTCTATATAGGCTGATGAACCTGGAAGCAATGGCATGGGAATAATCACACCATGAGACATCACAAGGGAAATAAAGCAAACCCCATGAAATCATTTTACTTGTCTGAACAGTGGACTTGTTTAATTTCTGGAATTTAGGCAAAGCATTTAGCTTTTACTTTAAAAAATATTTTTCAGTGAATATATAATATTAAAACCAATGTAACACAAAAACAACACAAATAATGAACACCCCTTATTTGTATCACTTAGGGAATTATCACCTAGGTCCCATTGTCTTTTTAAGAGGAAATGCTAAAATAGTGAAACAAGCCTGTTCCTATAAGTTTTATTTTTACATTCAGGAGGAAGTGACAGAATTTCAGCTGTATGGTGAGACTTGTTTCTGTGTTTCTGCTGCTCACAAAAAAAACCCAGTCAGGTTTAAGACTGAACTTCTACTTTTCTCTGTGTTTCCATGGCAGCAGATGAGATTTTCCACTGTGGATCAAACAGTGTTGTTCAAAGCTCTAAATCTATTCAATTCTCAAGAGGAACTAATTTTTGAAAAGTATTGCTTGATCAGTGCAAGCAATTGTGATTTCAGGAATTATCTTGTTCATGTATGATGGTTTTGCTCTATGTGTTGTTTTTCACACTACCCAAGCTTTATTTTACCTTTCTGTTTTTTGCATTAATATCAGAACTGAAAATAAATGACCACACCTGGAGGTTTTTATTGTGGTGTACCAATAGGTTATAAGGGATATTCCTGTAGGAAATGAATGCCCAGCTAGGAATATAATGAGTCGACTCTGTTGAGAACAGCTGCTACGGACAGCAGACATAAAACAAGACAAACTCAACTCCACAGTGAAATATTTTCTGTTGTGTTCACAGCAAACGCTCGACTATCTTCCTTCAGGCGATGATGTAAAAATGTGTCTACATGCCACAGCATGTCTCTCATGTTAAGACACAGCCTTGCAGTTTTTTAGGGCTTCAGGTATGAAGCAAAGCGTAAACACTGTTTAGCACAGTTTACCGTTGCGCTCTTATGTAATACATTACCTACGTACACTGCTGTCAACATATAATTGTGTTGTATTCCACCAGATGAAGAAACAAACATGATTTATTTCGGAATAATGATAAAACCTATTAGCAGTCAGGAAGACAAGCTTACAGGCAATAAAACTGTTTATTATTGTCAGTATGGCACAAAGTAAAAAGAAGGGTTTGGAAAAGTCAGCCATAAAGTGATATTATGAGCATATTAAGAGTTAGCCATTATTTAAAGTAATTTAGATAGTCCCACAGTAGCACCAACCTAGTATTGTTTTTTGAATTATCATGGATGTCTTTCTCTTCTGGCAGAATACAGATACTGGCAAACACAGCAGATAGCACCAAAGTATCTGAATTGTTTGATTCATTTTCTTATACTGTTATTCAATATCAGAAAATCTATCAGTATAACCAACAGAAGACGTTTTTATTTCATTTTTACCATTGACTATACAAAGCCGAAGCTGGGACAAAAGAGTTTGGTCATCTGCCTCGTTGTGTTGTCAATTCAGAACGCATAAAAGAGGGGACAATTCTTCTTTGTCTTCTTTTTTATACCCGTGGTGGGAAAAAGCAGTTGTGTGAAAGGTAGACACAAAAGCTGAGGGTGTGAGCTGACCGAGGCAGTGACACACAATAATGGTTCCTGTGCGTGACAAAGACACCCACAGAAGCAGTCTTGTGCTATAGCTGTAATCAAGAGAAGATATCTGTCTGCACATCGAACAAAATAATTGATTAACAATGTTGTGGAAATAGCTAAAATATCTTGCAGATTTTTAGAGGAAGGTCAGGAAAAAGAAAGACTTTTTACTCATTTATTTGAAACCCTTTTGAAATAGAGCACATAAAATGGCAAAGAGTTAAAAAAGGGTATTGGGATAGTTTACAATTTCTTATAGGCTTACTATCATTAGTTTGAGTGTATGTACATGATTAGTGAAGCACACAGACTCCATAACTGAGTACAGGTAGTTCAAATGTTGCAAAAATATTAACTGACATTATATTTAAAGATTCTACAAACAATTAAAATATACAGGTGGGAGGAATGGAAAGGAACACTTATTGATAGCACGAGTGAGTAATCATATGACACAGCAAAATTAAAAATCATCAGAGGAAAACCTAGAGGTTTCTCCTTTATCAACAAGAACAAACTAACAATAGTATCACTATTCCGACCCCCAGTGCCTTACCCATCCCCTGACCCCTGAGTTCAACTCATTTCTCTACTAGTTCAACAGGCCTGTGTACAGATATCAGCCAACAGTTTACAAAGCAACGACATCATATGAGAAATGTATGCTCAAAATAAGGAACAGGAAGTTGAAGTTAACCTGCTGGCAGTTAATACATCCAGCAGCCTATTTTAAAGTACTGAGGTCAAGAGCTGTCAAACCAATGATAGATCAAAAGCTGTCAATCCAACTGGTGAACAAGCAAACAAAAAACCCCTTCAAAACGCTTAACCTTTTATTTAATTGTATAAGTGGTTTCAACCCTCTTCCCCACAACTGTATTCTAAATGCTGCTAATATAGACATCTGTAAAGTAACTTCTAAAACAGATGTAAAACATCAACACTAAACTGACCACAATATATTAATTTGTTATTTCAGAACATTTAAAGATAAATACAAATGTTTTAGGTTGAGCTGCACAAAGAAAACATAAAACCAGCTCTAACTAACTAGTGACTATGCTAGCTTGCAGAATGGTGTCTGCAAACAGATTTGGTGCAGA